GAATTCACCTACCCGAAAAACTTACCGGTGGTTTTGACCCACAGACGCATCTCGCATGGGTCGCGCCTGCGTTTTGGCGCCAGGAGCGCAGCACCAGGCCGAAGCGGAGCCGCGCCAAGTCCGCGGTACGGAGCTGCAGCTGCAGCGCCTCGACTCGAAGCCGTGCACCAGTGGATTTTGCGGAGTTGGGTGGGCTGCTTCTAGGTTAGAATAAGGGTATCCTATTTTTTTCTGTAGTCTATTTTGGTAGGGGAACCCTCCCCCAAAAAAGGGGAGAGAAGGGCACTACTCGGGGACCTGGACTTGCTGTTGGTCGCTCGTCCTCGAGTCCTCACCAGCAAAAAACAGCAACAACAATAAAAGCCATTAAAAAAACTACAACAATCAAACCCATGGAACAAAATAATAATACAACCTTAAGAAAAGCAACAACAACGGTAAAAACCATAAAGCTTTGATTCAAATGGCCCAGAGCGCGCCCGAAAACATTCATGACCGGCCTCCTGGTTCCTTTGGCGCCGCAGCTGCCGGAGCTGCGCCCAAAGCACTCGCAGGGCGGCCTGCACTGGCGCTGGCTGAAAGCGGAGGAAGGGGAAGCGTCCCAAGTGGATGGCCCGAGAGTCCAACTTTGATCTCCAGACACATCCCCACCCGGTCTCTTAAGATTTACCGCTAAAATGGGAAGCAAGGTCTTCCCAAAAAGTATGAAGTGCAGGAACTCAGAAAGTGAGGAAATATAGGAGTCTGTGGCTTTTTTGGAGGACGGTTACCCTTTCTTGTATCTCTCGAAGGGAAGCCAAAAACGAACAACGGGGGTGATTTTGGGGGTCCAAACCCTGTCTTGGGAAGGATCGCTCAGAGCCCCTGACTGCAGTGAACTGCAGCTGGGGGATTTCCATACCCCCAATGTGATTCGGACTGCTGGTTGGACAGCCAAAGAGCACCTTCCTTCGAGACGATGCCAAACGAAGTCTGTTCCCACCCCCCTATCGGTTTGACCATTCCGAAGAGGAATCCATCTCATTTTGATTTTGGGGGGCCAACATTAGGGCTAACGTTTTGCAGTTCCCCCCAGAGAAAGGTGGCACAAGGCAAAGCCAGCTCCAAAAAGGAGCTGCCCATCTTTCTGACAACCTCCCCCAACTCCAACTGCCAAAAGAAACCTTGGCCCCATCTGCATACAACAAATATTAAATCCTGTATGTTCTCACTCTTCATCATATTTTGTCTACCCTGAAATCAGAGCGGTTTGGAGACCAAGACCAAGGGTAGACTATGAACCAAGAGCTACAGTATTGTAACAAAACATAAAAATCGGTTTGGAAGACCAAAGTCCTCAGCGCCCCGCCTGCGCGGTGCTGGGTGCCGCCTCCTCCGCTGCTGCCAGCAAGTCCCTGGCCGCCGCCAAGCCTTGGAGTGGCGGCTCACATGCCTAACATGCTTGAAGGTGCGGTGGATCCCACGCAATCACGAAGGTACTAGCAATACATAGTATATAGAGAGAGAGAGAGAGAGCTATATACACGTATTTATTACAAGTAGTACCGCAAGGCGGTGGCGGAAGTTTCCAAAAAAGAACCACTATAGGAGGCTTGAACAACCAGGGCAAACATGCTTGGGGCCAAATTGAAAACCAATCATGTTTTGTTTGTGACGAACATGGCCAAACGGTCACAAAAGAAATCAACAGGTCATGTCTTCACAGGCAATTATTCCACCGCTCGGACAAAAACTGGAAAGAAAACCTTGGCAGTGCCCAGGCTGACAGGGAGCACAGGAAGTATATGCGTTCTGTGGGAACACAAACTAAAAAAAAACAGCAAGAGGTTGTCCGCCTGAGCGTGATGCTGGTAGGTCGGCTGGTGACAAACAACAAACTAGAACATCAACATGTTCTCGGCCTGTGTGTGGTGCTGGTGGGAGTGCTGGTGAAAGTGTAGTGGTGGTAGTGGTGGTGGTGATGTGAGTTGCCGCTCCGCGATTAAAGCCGGGACATGAACAAACATGAACAGTGGTGGTGGTGATGCTAGTGATGCTGGTGACGAAAACCGGGACATTGAACAAACATGACATACGCGGAGCAACTGACAAGACACAGCCGAAACGCCACACGGTCACAGCGACATTACCTCCCTATCTATCTATCTATCTGTCTATCTACCTATCTATCTGCCTGTCTACCTCTCTATCTATCGAAAAATCTACTCTCTATCCAGCTTTCTATCTATCTATCTATCTATCTATCTATCTGTCTGTCTGTCTATCTATCTAGAGCGCGACTAACTCAACAGGGCAGCTTAGGATGCCTTGCGCGTTGCCATTCCAATGCGTTTTACCACTGCCAAGCTGCATTCCATCTTAGAAACGCGCACCGCGCGCAAGCGCCACGCATTTTTCCAAATTGGATGAAAGTCTTGCGCGTTGCCATTCCAATGCGTTTTACCACTGTCAAGCTACATTGCATCTTAAAAACGCGCACCGCGCGCAGGCGCCACGCATTTTTTCCAAGTTAGATGAGAGCCTTGCGCGTTGCCATTCCAATGCGTTTTACCGCTGTCAAGCTACATTGCATCTTAAAAACGCGCACCGCGCGCAGGCCGCTTGCGATTTTTTAAAGTTGGAGCTTCCAAAAGTAGCCCGACCCTGTAGTGTTTTTACGATTTTGACTTCCAAATGTGCGCCGCGCGCAGGCCGCGTGCGATTTTTGACAGTTGGAGCTTCCAAAAGTGTGCCGGGAATGTAGTGTTTTTACGATTTTGACTTGCAAATGTTCACCGCGCGCAGGCCGCGTGCGATTTTTTGCCAGCAATTCCGACCAAAGGCTCCGCACCCGCCGCTTTACCGAGGTAACTTCTGGGCCGTTCGGAGGCTCAAAACATTGAAAAAATACAGCATTTCGCGACCTTTCTAACATTTCGCACACCATGCTTCATCTTTCTTCATCGCTTCTCTCTGCTACTTCTTCTGCTCTCTCTTCTTCTCTCTCTCTCTCTCTCTATCTCTCGCTCTGCACTGCTCTGCTTGAGTTGTCGATATTGTCGGAAGTTAGACTTCTAAACTTCCTTCGATTACGGCTATTATTATCATTGTTATTATTATGATCATCATCATCATCATCATCATAATCATCAGCATCACCCGCAGCATCAGCATCATCAGCATCAGCATCAGCATCAGCATCAGCATCATCATCATCATCATCATCATCATCAGCATTATTGTTATTATTATTAGCTTATACCAACGCTCAACCAATCTACCCATCTGGAGGGTTCTGTGGGCAAATATTGCATACATAGAATGTTTGGGGATGTACGAAATTCACTACAATAGCTGAAATGGATGAAGCCCGGTTTGATTACTGGACAACACCATCACAACTGGCGTATTCTGTCCATCTGTTTTGAACAAATCAGTGAATTTCACTGATCAATGATTAGAACCAACAATGAGCTTGACACCATTGACTCCTTCAGCTTCAATCAGATCGAAACCGGCGTGGCTTTGTTCAAAGCCAACTTTGGACTTGTCCCAATTGTTCCAGCTTGCTTGCACCCCAAGCACTGACGCAACCACAAGCACAACCACACACACGCAGAAACACAAGCACCCGCGCAAAATGAAAACAACAAACTGCACACACACACAAACACACGAACAAAAACAGACTCACACCCCCGCGTGACCAAAGGCTTTCAGGTCACCCGACATTGACCAAGCCAATCAAACTACAATCCCAAACCGAAGTTAACAACAGCTGTCGGCTGTTGGGTAAAGACCAGTCCTACAGAGCAACCTAATTGCGCAACCAGCCTGACCGACTCAGCCCAGCCCTAATCTAAAACCTTCACCGGCAGCACCACCCAAGCAATCCCTAAACGCTGGATATCCTAAGTAGTGCGCGCAAGGGGAACAAAAATGGAAGCCCTGAACTTGACCGCGCGTTAAGCGGTTTTGTGGTTGGAGGTTGTTGGTCCACCTGATCTGCCAGGCCGTCTTTGCAGAGTGCCAGGGGTCATTCTGTTCCCCACCCGCTAGTCAAGAGAACACTCTTTGGCATGAATCTGTAGTGTTTGATCCTTCAACAAAGGAAACGTGACCAACTTGAGGGGCGCCTGACCTTTAAATACAAGCAACCAAAAAGGGGTTACCCCAAAAAGCATCAAGGGGCCCCAGGCCAAGTCATCCTCACGCACTGCGCGCAGCAATCCTAAAAGCAAGGCACGCTCGTCGCACCGGCTGCGAGCCTAGCAAAAAGGCAATTTGCAGGTGCACACATCACAAATACACACACACACACTCTGCCCCATGTTAGCCACAGTGAATACCTGGGATGAAAGCGGCCTACCCAAAACCATGTAAATCGGAATCGGGCAGTGCGGCAGTACTGCCCTAAAGCGAAGCAAACAAGGTTGGTCATGGACAAATGAAAGGGCTAAAGGTGAGGCCGACATCAACCAATCTGCAATCCTTTCACTCAACAAAACAAGACTGGGACGGGTAAACCATATCAAGAATCCTTCCCCCCGCGCCATGATGTGTGATCATGATTAAACAAAACGCATGTTTGGCTTTCTGTCCCTTTCTTTCTGTGTCCAAATATATGTTGTCCGCCTTCCTGCTTGCTTCATGTCGTTGCCACAAGCCGCGCATTGATCAAACTTGGACGTCGCTCCCAAGCTCCGCAGGCCTGCGCCAGGCTGCAGAGTGCTGCCAGCGCATTGGCAACTGCCACCTGCGCAACTTGCCATGTGGCCATGGGTCAAAGCCCAAAATTCCGTACCCCCAGCGAGACCTCCCAATCCAACCACTAAAATAGGTTCTCATATGGGTGGTGAATTCACCTACCACAAAATGATACCATTGGGTTTGACCCACAGCCATGTGTTGGTGAGAAAATACGCAGACAACCACTGACGCGCTCGCAGGTCGGCATAGAACTGGCCCTGATTGGCTCAGCTTCAGGCAGGTAATTTCAACCGTTGAACTTTCTCCTTCCCTGCTCAAGCTAGCGACAGCACCGGCTTCCTAAGCCGACGGATTGTTTCTCCAGCGCACGCTGCACAAACGCTGTGAAGAATCAGCACATGGGCGCTGATTCCAGCTCAGCTCCAACTCCAACTCAAAGCACAGGAGGATATGCCTCGCACACAACACAAGCTGCAAGAACTTGTCATGGTACAAAGCAGGAACTTGCTGGCCCATGATACAACAGCTCTAAGACCGCATCGAATGTTCAGTCTCAGACCCATGTGCTGGGTATCTAACGCCCCCCCCTCCGAGAGCCAGGCCAGTGCTTCACATGGTCAACCTGACAGGGGAGTGTGTGGATCCAGGGGACGTGCACTAGACCTGTTCCCAGAAAAATCAGAAATCTGGAAAAAAAACCCAAGGTCATGCCTGCAACGCAACGCGTACTGCATGCCTGACACCCAAAGGCCAGAGTTGAAACCAGAGCTGGACTCAGGGGACTATTTCAAATGCCTACACCTAACGATGAAATTTGACACCCAACAGGATTGCATAAGCACAGGTCAAAACCGAACATTAAAGTTTTTCCGCACTGCATCTTGAACCATGTTGAATACATCTCAGTTCGGTCTTCTTCCAATGGAAGCGCGCAATGCAAATCTGTTGGTTCACTTGCCCGAGCTTCCTCGCCGGCGCAACACCCACAAGCACACCCCGTTACATGCAGCACTCCCCAGCTTGAATCAGACGTTTGGCCCCCTCCAACTCTCTTCTCCCTCCCCGAATTGACGGAGGCTCCCCAAACCCAACCAGTGCGTGCAAGAACACAGCAAAACATTGCAAACACGACAAGGCTCCTCAGTGACGACTCAGTCAGGCACACACAAGCGCAACCACGAATACGCAAGCGAGCAAGCAAGCAAGCAAGCAAGCAAGCCAGCCAGCCAGCCAGCAAAGCAAGCCAACTAGCAAGCTAGCAAGCAACCAAGCAAGCCTACTAGCAAGCAAGAAAACCTACTAGCAACTCTCAAATGGCATAATAGTGCCCTGGAACTCACACAACATGCTTCACCACAAACAAGCCACCTGGCAGGGCAAGCCATGCTCACACTCATATATGCCCGAAAACCCCAAAACATATAAGAAGACAATTCAATTCTTCAAGGCAATGCGTTTACCAACCTGTATTCGAACAATCTGACACGAGCTGCACATGCATGATCCAATGATCCACGCCACGTCCTCAGAGAAAAACACTTCATCCCAATCAAGATCTGTTCCAGGCCAGCGAATGCAGGCCACGCACTCCGATTTTGCTCCCCCCAAAAAAAAAACACTGGAGCCAGAATCGAGCTGAGCTTTGCCGCCAAGCTGCGGTGCTGCCCCTGCTTTCGGAAAAGCTCCGCGAGCTGCGTTGGCGTGGTGGCTTGGTGGAGGCCCTTGTCCTGCGCACGAGTCGGGGATTTTCTCAAAGGGGCGTGCAACCCAACGAATCAAAGGGAATCAAATGATTTTTGAAGTTCTGAGGCCTTTCTGCTTTTTGCAACAAGAAGATGAGGTCTGGAAAGGGGATGCCGGTTGTCGAATCCTCCCTTCCATGAGAATGATTGACATGAATTGAATTGAGTGTTGTGACTAGGCATCAGGAAACAGCCTGTGCAATCCAGCTGCGCTATATCATCGCAATAGTAAGTGCCTTCCAGCTGCTTAGGGGACTGGGTGGGATGATGCAGGGGATTTGGCGGTTTGGAGAAGGCTGATGGCGGGACCGGGGGAGCTGCTCTTTTCGTAAATCTTGTTTGGGTACGAATCAGGGGGGACGCTGCTGATGCCGCTAATGCTCTGTGCGCTGTGCAAGGCCAGAAGTGATGATGCTGGCTACACGGCACACGCACGCTGCAGGCGGGAAGGGCCAAAGGGTCGCGGAGTACGGCTTCAAACTCTTGCGTGGCGCTGGGTGCTGGCTCTTGGCGATGCAAATGTCGATGTTGGTGATGCAGAAATGCGCACAGCAAGGATTACGTGAGCGCTGCTGGTAATGCTCGCCCCTGGTGAATCTCCCCGTCTTGCCAAGCAGGATATCCTTCTCTGGCTGCCAACTCACTGGCATCACCACGTGTTTCCTTTTGGCTTCCCCAAACGCAGGCAAACAAGTTTGCTATAGTACTCCCAAACACGTGATGTGAAGGATCCAGCAGCGGTTTCAGACGTGTTTCATGATTGAAATTGCTCAGGGTAGACCCAAACCCTGCAAAATCATTGTTCTTCCCAAATAGGTTCAGCCCAGGTCAGGTTGCAAAGCTCAGAATTCCGAGAGACACCATGCAGGATTTTCTCCCAAACCTGGTCACGCGCAGTTTCCTTTTGAAGGCGTCCAAAAAAACAACACCCATCTCTGAATGATAAGCCCTGAATAACAACACCCCCAACTAAAAAAGGGGAGTCTCCAGGATCCCACTACAAAGGGACTAGAATGGGGGGGGTACTAGTCAAGAGTCAAGAGTCAGCATTAAAACCCACAAAACGAGGCGCTTCAACCACCCCAACGCTAAAGTTGATGCCACGCCTCGCGCTTCCGCATGAATCGCGGGAACCGCAGCGAGAGGCCCTTCTTGGGGTCGACGAGGCCTTTGGCCGCCATGTGCTTCGGCGAGATGGTGATGTCCTCAGTCTGGCGAAACGGACCTTTTCTTTCTCGGCGGCCCGTCGGGGGAAAAAACACGAAAAATGGTGGGTGGATCCATATGGGTATGTGTTTTTTTGACGTGGCCGTGCCGGGAGGTTGGTATAAGGGGTATGAATCGCAGGTATGGTTCGGGGTATGGCTCGGGGGTATGATTCGGGGTATGGCTCGCGCGCCTCTGAACTCTTGCTTTGTGGCTTTGGACACTGCAAAGCTCCCGTGCGCTGGCAACTGGATAGCCGTGAGATTTCGACCGCTTAGTTGCTACAAGCCAGCCTGGGGCGCTTGTGAGTAGCCTGAACTAGACAGCTGCCACTCTGCGTGAGTGGGTTAGCGAAGCTGCTGCGCTAGCAGAGCCACTGCCTGAGGCGAACGTCATGGCCACCTCCACTTGGAGTTCAAGCGACCCGCGCGCTCACAGACCCAAGCAAGCGTTGCTTAAGGGGAAGCCTCTCACAGGTGGTGTACCGTGTCGCGCTTGATACATCCAGTAAGCCTTCCGAACCCACCTTCTGGCGAACTTCTGCGAAAAGAGCCGCGCGCTGGTTCCTGCAGTGCTTCTCTTTGAGTTTTGTGTCTTCTGAGGATTTGGGCGGCATAGCTTCGCTAGTACTGCCCAGAGCGCAAGGGGCTCTTGGCTGCAAATGGCAGCAGAAGCGTATGAATCGGGGTATGAATCGGGAATGAATCGGGGGTATGAATCGGGGGACATATTTTTTTCGACCGGAAAAACACCAAGAGTACCCCAGGAGCACAAAGACAGCTTGTGTTTCACTGCGACAGTGGCCCAGGACAGACAGCTGTTTCCACCGCGTCGGACAGACTACAGGAAGCAAGCTCCAAGTTTCAAGCTCAGCAGCGGCACCCCCCGCCACAGCGCCCTGCAAGTCCCAGCGTCTTACGTCAAGCTGCGCCCCCCCGCCACAGCACCGCGGATGCTACAGACAACTCTAGTACCAGGACATCCGCAGGATTGCTCTATAACTCCATCCATTGGCACTTTCCATTGAAAATAGCAAGCCGAGACCGAGGTGGGTAACCGAGTGTCAAGGAACACCACTTAAACCAAACTGGCCCCCTACGAGTAACCAGTGAGTGTGTGAGTGGACATGTCAACTGTACTTGGCCCCATGACATCAGCGCCCAACCATGCAAGCATCGCAGACTCAAGAATAGATCCAGGAACCACAAGAGTCCCTACCCCCTGGCATCGGTCCACATGGCAAGCTCTCTACCACTGTTTCTTGACAAGACCCCCTTCTTCACTTGAAGTTAAACCCCCTATAGCTTCCAGCTATCCATGGATCACATGCAAATGCCATAGTTCTTGCAAGTTCTTTTTTTGTGTTTTTTAAGGGGTATGACTCGGGGTATGGCTCGGGGGTATGGTTCGGGGTATGATTCGGGGGTATGGCTCGCCCAAGCCCCACCTCCCACGAAGACTAAAGAACTGACACGGTAAAAAAACACAGACCCATATGGTGTCCACCACTCAGCAGGGATCCTTACATTATACACCTGAACATTGCCTTGTCCATGGTGGTTTCCCCTTATTTTGGTGTTGAAAAAGAAACATGTTTCAAGTGGTTGCAAAACGTATCTTTTAAGGAGCCCTGCTCAGTCTGGCGAAACGGACCTTTTTTTTTGGTCGGCGGCGCGTCGGGTTTGAACCCCCCCCCCCCCCCGAAAAATGGTGGGTGGATCCATTTGGTGGCCACCAAGGGGTGATCAAACAATCATAACAATCGTGGCTAAATCAGCTCATTTGCTGCTGAGTAGAACCCGCAAAGATCTGCTTGCAGGCCATCAAGAATGGTGATAAAACTTTGTTGTTGTTTCAGAGGCCTTGCTTCTCCCACGAAAGAGCCCAAGCACCATCCATTCTCACTGAGGTCACGGCTGCGCCACGGATCTCCCAAACCTCCTTGGGACATGCGCATGTTAGATCTTTTTCCCCTCTCAGCGGTGGGTTTGGGGTGGGTGTCGGTTGGATTTAGGGTTGGTTTCGGGGTGGGGCCGGGTTTCAGGTTGGTGCAGGGTGGGTTTAGGTGGGTTTCGGGTAGGTTTAGGGTGGGTTGGTTTATGGTTGGTTGGTGGAGAGTTTGTTCATGTTGGGTTTCGAATTGGTTGAAGAGGGTGGCTGGGGGTTGTTCATGCTGAGCTTAGGGTTGGGGTGGATTCGTGGGGTTTAGGGTGGGTTGGGGTTGTCTTCGGTTTGGTTTAAGGATGGTTTAGGTGAGGGATAAAGAATGGCTCAAGGGTGGGTGTGGTTGCCTAGGGGTGGCTTAGCTGTCCAGTTAGGGTCGGGTTAAGGCTGGTTTTAGAATCGGTCCACGCTGGGCTTTGCGTTGGCTTAGGCCTTGAGTGTTGGTGGCTTCAGGTTGGTTGAGGGGGGGTTCTTTACATGTTTGCATCTGGAAGGTACTTGCAATGGCTCCAGCAGAGATCTGCTGCGCTTGTTTGGAAGGTCTCAGTTCTTTTCCAATCATAGAGCTCAAGCTCCGCCCTTCGAGTTCCTCGCCATGAAGTCATACGCGCCAAGTGACCAGACCCATTCGGTCCTGTGTGCCAAACAGCGTCATGTCGTGGCACTCTCCATTAATACAGCCATTGATGACGCGCTTGCATTCTGGGTGTGTCCAGGTTCCAGCTCTCGCGGGTCACTGGTCCAGCCTCTTCCTGCCAGTGATGACACGTTGTGTGGAGAACTGGATGATACTCACGCCATAATTTTCTGGATGGGTGAGCCGGCAAGCGGAAACGGAACTGTCCACTCAGCATTGCATTTCCAAACCCTCATGGGCCAGAAAGGGTCACCGCGTGTGTAAGGGACCTTGTCTACTGGGAGTCAATCAGGCAAACTGTAGCACATGGCTGCTGCTGAAGACCGTACGCATGTCATAAACAAGTTGCTGCCTGCGCTTCGTTTACTGCAGGTCATAAACGGAGAACGGGGCGGACATCGCTTGGCAAGGGTGGCGCGCAAACAACGTTCATGTTTCCACCTCCAGGATGCGCGCGAACTCCGCGAAATCATCACTCTCCTGCCGCTTCAACTTGAAGCTGTGCATGTTCTGTTGAAGCTGCGCATGTTCTGCCCTTCAGCGTGCAGCCACACACGGCTAGCGAGCTGACAAAGTGCTCATGATCCTTGAACTCTGGCTGCGACAGTGCCCAAGGATAGGCGGTCACCGTGTCGAGCAGGGTCCGGAGGTTTCGAGGAAGGTTTCGCGGCGAGGGTTCCGGCACGGTCCCACTGCCGCAAGGCAGCTCTGAGGCAAGGTTCCGCAGGGCCCACGGGCGTTCCAAAGACTGTGAGGGCGGGTGTGGCGCCATGGGGATATCACCTGAAACTATTTTCCTCACCAACTCAAGGCTCTTTGACCTGGTCTGTTCAAAAGCACGAGCCATCCCCTTTATTGAACACTTGGAAAGCGACGGGCACGCCTTCCCGCACACGACAAACCCTCCCGCTCCGTCGGTTGGAACCAGAAGGGCGGTTGCTCCGCAGTGTCAACGCCGGGCGCGGGCCGCTTCAGCAGCAGCCCGGAACCTCGACGCTACTTGGGGCGCAATGCTTTAGGCAAAGCAAAGGAAAATGTGTGAGCCGTGTTTCTTTTCGTTGGGGGCCCCAAGTGCCTGGTAGGAATGTTTCTTGTCTTAGGGCCCCAAAATTGTGATTTTTCCTTTCCCAATCCCAAGAAGGGTCCTTCCGACGAGACCGGAACGCAGAAGCACGCAACCCCAAAAGCATTCCCAAAAAAAACTCCCAACGACGAAATTCACTCAACTAGAAGCAATCCGCAAAATAAGACGTTCCAACATAACCCTGAAGTCAGCCCCAAACATATCTCTCAAGACACCCCCAAGACGCCCCTAAACTAAACACACTGCGGAAGAAAGCAAATATGTTCCAAGGAATGTTCCAGAGACCACCCCCAAAAACAAACGCACACACACACACCCACACACACACACACACAAACACGCACACACGCACGCACGCACGCCGCAGGCCCGCACGCCCGCACGCACCAGCACCCACCCACCCACCCACCCACCCACCCACCCACCCACCCACCCACCCACCCACGCCCCGAAAACACCGGCAAACGCCAAACCTCGTGCAAGCGAAAAAACCCTGTAGATCTGTAGATGCCACCAACAACATCGCCATTCACAATTCTCCAAGACAGCCACAACCCGAAATACATTGCCAGCCTGCAAAGACAACCCCCCCCAAAGAATTTTGTGAAAGAAATGCCCTCAAGGATCCTTGGAAGACACCTGAAAGATATTCCTCATTCAAACACAGCCTCAAAGTCATCTCCGAAGACATCACCCTAAAACAACCATTCTTGAAGGCATCCCCAACATACATTTGCCCAAAACACACTCCGAAGACACCCCAAAGACAGCAAATACACAAACGCCCGCAACATCTTCAAGGACATCCCCAAACACACACACACACACACCAAAGGCATCCGCAAGGAACCGTGGGAAGACAATCATAGACCAGCCCCAATTACATCCGCCAAAGACATTACCCAAGACACTTGCGCAGGCCAGCAAAGATATCCCCAAAAAGAACCCCTGAGCAATAACAAGCGCTTAAAGACGTTCCTCTTTCCTCAACGACATCACCCCAAGACACTTTTCAAAGACATTCCCAGGCTCTCGAAGTGCTGCGCCTGTCACGACATCTGCACGCCAAGCTCTAAAGTGCTGCGCCTGCCACAAAATCCGCACCAAAGCGCCAAAGCACCGCGCCTGCCACGAATCCCCAACTTGCTGCGCCTGTTACACAAAGTAAGCTTGCCACAAACTCAAAACCCTCCAAAGTACTGCGCCACAAAACCCAAGTTTGACAGGTTTAGGACATGCATTCAAAATTAGCACGGGACTTTGGCGCCGGAATGATGTCGTCCGATATTGACTCAATTCAAGCGCAGGGCCAACAAAAATGACCCTCACGCAAGCGCTTGCACGTGCCTGCCAAGCAAGACACCTCAAAACAACCACTCCTCAAACGCAAATCACGATGGCATAGCAATGCGAACGCTTAGCCTTTCCGCACACTGCGCGTTGCGAAGTGAAACAATATGCAACGTCGCAAAAGACAGGATTCGCGCACAGGCGCAACAAAAACAAATTCATGGAAACGTCACTTTTTGCCGCTATGCGAACGGAGACGCAAAGATGCTGGTCACCTCCCTAAGCCTCAGACCCCAAACCTCTAAACTCTAAACAGGAACCCTTCTGCTGCACATTCGGGAAAAAGCACACCCATCTGGCCCAACAAAGGGGGAGTGTAGCCGCAAGCCCTTCCTCTCAATGCCCTTTGGCTTCCCTTCCAAAGTACCTTTGGTTCTGTGGTCTCCCCGTAAACCACTATTTTGACACTGATTCTCGGGATGTCACTTTACTGAACCCAGCCATACATAACTCAGGACTCAGGACAAGGACAACCCATCTGCTCCCAGCCAGGATGCTCTCTGGCTCCAACACCTCCTCTTCCAAATCCTGCGGCGGACCACACGGTTGTACCATACTGAAAGCCTACAGTGGTGAAGGACCAGCAAAACAACATGGCCCATACGATTGAGGCTTCAGAAACACTCACAAACGAAGAAAGTCAATCCTGAATGGAGTGCTTCAGAGTTGAAATACCGCTGAAGGCAGCAACCAACCCCTTCATGGATTCATGGTTATGGGCCTTTCAGCATCTATGAGACACGTCAATGGCAACTAAACCCAGGCCCCTCAGCCATACCCATTGGCTTCATCCGACTGCCCGGCCCTTTTCAATCACACAACACAGGCCCGATTGAAAACAACAGGCAACGTCTACTTCGAGTTGTCCAGTGCTTCTGCTGATGCGTATCGTTTGTTTACGGCGCAAGGAAACCTCGCAAGCCGAACTGTTTCTGCCAAAGACAAGAGCGACTTGCGCGCAAACCTGTCCAGGTGCGCCTCCTCTACTGGCTCCTCGCTGGCAGACTTGTCGCCTCCGCGCAAAGCAAGGCTCAAGGAAACCCTAAGCTCCAAGGACCGGCAAAGGGTCAAAGGTCGCAGTGTGCCATTCATAGGCGTCCCTTTAGGGCAAATATATGGCCCTGCTAGATGATTAAACCACCAGGTAAACCAGGGCCATCTATTTTTCTACCAAAACAACCAAAAAGGACACCTATGGTGCCATTGCTCGACCTGTCTGCCTGACACATCTTGCAAGCGTGGCAGGCTATATTTTAGGAACGGCTTCGAGCAACCCTGGTGTCTTCCTGTCAACTCTCACCTTCCACATCCTCCTCCTTCTCCTCCACCTTCTCCGCCTCTGGCCCTTTGCGTATCTCGCGGCCCAGGTACTTGATGGTGTTCTCCTGTGCCGGAGATGGATCCACATGGTACCAAAACGGTCTTCAGCATGGCCGGCCCGCGCAAACCCATGGCAAAGGGACCAAGTGATCTACATTCATGGTTTTTGGGGTTGGTCAGAGGGAATTTGTCATGTACATGCAAAATTCGCGTGGACCCGCTCGGCAAAAAGTCCTTGTAGAACTTGTCGCTGAAGCCGGACATGACGCGGCAAACGCTGCCCAGCGTTCCCTCATCTGGGTCGTACCTTGCACAGCACCGGTCTCGCATCATACTTATGTCTGGAGGGGACTGGACTTTAGACACCTTATTGTAAAGTCACACCATTATGTGGCCATGGGGCATAACCTATGGCTCCATTTTGGGGGTGGATAAAACATCCGTTTGCCACCTATTTTGATGTTCACCAGGGGTACAGGGTTTTGACCCACAACCATGTATAAATACACACTGTACCACTGTCACCATATTTGATGGCGGAGGTGCTGTCTGTGGTTGCACTTGTTGTCTTGGCAACACTTCCGGGTGACGGCTTGCTTTCTGCAATCCCTCCAATTGCATACGAACACACACACACACACACACACATGTACGGTAAATACACTGACCCAAAAATGCGTGCATCTAAAACAGGGTGAATCACAATCATTCACCACAAACAGAAGGGGTTCTTATGCCAGACACCTTCATCATGGGCGTCTTTGCGGTGGAAAAAGGGAATCTTTCGCCAGGTGATTTTTTAATCTACCCTTCCTCCCACAAACTAAATCCTCTTCAAGGGACCCTCTGTCAGCTGCCATGTGTGAGGGAGGTCATCCTGACGCAAACAATATTATTAATATCATCGAAAGGAAAGCTGCCGGATCACTCGCGCCAAACCAGGGTTGGGCGATTCAACCGTCAGTTTAGGCATGCTTCAATCACTGCTTTTCTACACGTCTTCTTTGGGGTTGCCTTTGAAAGGGGCCAGGGCAACTAGCTGTTTTCATGTTGTGCAGCCATCCACGGTTGTCGACGACAACGCAAAAGACCAAACAAGGTATGCGCTCATCTTCCAAAGACTAAGCACCCACAAAATGTTTGCTCTCCAAACAGGGTAGGTTTGTTCCCAACCAACACTACCGGCCCCCCCCCCTCCCCAAAAAAAAGAGAAAGAAACACGAACAAGCAACAAAACAAAGAAGCACAACTCGTGGGTTCTCTCCAAGAAGACTCTTCTTTTGCGATCGCAAAGAAAAGCATGAAGGTTCAATCGCCAAACCCTGGGTGCGCATAGTCCGGCAGCTTTCGGTCAGGGTAACCTCCCTTACACATGGCAGCTGACAAAGGGTCAGCTACAAGAGGAAATTGAGCTTGGGGGATGAAGGATCAATTGAACAAATCAAAACAACACCGGAAAAACAAATAATAATGACAATAATAAAGAAGAGAAAACAAATCCAAAAAGAGAGTTTGGAGGAAGGATCCGTCCAACGGTTTGTCCCGGTCCGAAGCACGTGGCCACCAGCCAGGGCGAGATCCAGCGGCTCTTGCGGCCACTGCCACGCCAGCCGCCGATGGGGATGAGGTCCAGCGAGTCCCCCAGGGACTCCAAGTAGTCCTCGCCCCGTTTAACGGGGGCTCGAGTTTTTTGGGGGTTCATGAGAAGTGTTTGGGAGATGAGAGTGGGGTTTGGTGCACTGAAAACCATGAGAAGGGGGAGGTTCATGAGAGGGGGGGGGTTTATGAGACATGTGGGGGTTTCAATAGAAACACTCTTTGGTTGTTTTTCAGAACTTTCAGGGACCCCCTCCCCCGCCCCAAAAAAAAAGGAGAGGGGGAGAGAGAGGAGAGATGGTGTGCTTGCTGTTTGGTTGCCTATCAAGCGGTCATGCTCAGTTGCCATCAAGACGTTGCCATCAGGTAGATTTCCTCTTTTGGGATCCTGAAACACGGTGCTCAAAGATTTGGGGCTGCCTCTAAATGGGGCCCGACCCCTTCCCGGAAGCAAATGTGGGAAAACACACATGAGTTTGTCGGCGTCCCTGGACGCCCAACATAAAAACGGGCGTCCTCGAAAACAAATAAACACACAAACAAACAAACAAACAAACAAACAAACAAACAAACAAACAAACAAACAAAGAAAGAAAGAAAGAAAGAAAGAAAGAAAGAAAGAAAGAAAGAAAGAAAGAAAGAAAGAAAGAAAGAAAACAACAAACAAACAAGCAAGCGACCAAGCAACCAAGCAACCAAGCAATCACAGAAGCAACCGAGGCAAGCAAGCAACCAAGCCAGCAAGCAAGCAAGCAAGCAAACAAACATAGAAATACAAAAACACAGAGCCACAAAGCCAGAGACACAAAGACATGGCGACACACACACACACCTGTCGCGGACCCTCGTTTGGATTGTGCTTAAAGGGATATCAAAGGAACCGCAGAATATACGGCCTGCTTATGTTTGGAAACTTCAGTGTGTTGTTGCTGGTGTTGGTATGGATCCGGATGGATCATCCGCAACTGTTTCTGCAGAATCGGTTTTAAAACGAACATGTCACATGGAATCCACTCATTCAGCGCCAGAACATTGCTCCTTGCCATCCCGCCCGTCACGGATTGCCTGAACAACAGTGATCATCAACAGCACGCAGCAGGGATAAAAGTGAGAGCACAAAAAGGTTTGTGGCGTTAAATGCATACCTGCGTGAGGAATACCCTGAACGGAGAATCAATCAAGTTGTCATCTACAAAACTGCTATCCAACAGGGCCGAATCGCAGTATGCACTCCCAGCCTTGCTGTGCTTCTCTTTTATATAGGCTCCAACATGCTCCAACAATCCAAGATGCAGGCAAAATCGAAAAGACCGCAGGAGCCCATGGCCAACACTACTGAGCCGCCTGATTTGGGCTGTTATTTTTTTCATCAGAGCGCCAGGGTATATTTGAGAGCATCGGCTCACACCATCGCTCAACGTTTGCCTCGACACTGGGCCCATTGCCTTTGCAAGATAGTTGCGCTGACCCATGGGATCCATAGCCCTTTAAACGCCCTTAGAGCCAAACACAACAGTTTGTTGATTGGCCATCAACTTGGAGAGCACTGCGGGGTGGAAAGGCGATGGAACACAATAGTGAGTTGACAAAGCGCGCAGGCAACAGCCGCTGCATTTGTTTTCAGGGCGAGGATCAATGTGGCAGAAAGGGACCAGCATGGAACAACGCAGGAACTCAAGGGTAGGCGCATAGAAAAGTGGAAAGGGAAAAGGGAAAACCGATAACTGATCAAAAGGAAGGGCAACAAGGAAAGAAAAGGCAAACAAGAGCGAGCAGTGTAGACTTCGGTGTTCAGCCAGTGGACAGTCAGCCTCACGCCCGCCACATTGCCTGCTTGGTAAATACATAACGATACATGATGTCAACATGGTATATCGGTATATTTCCAAATGGAGGGCAACTGAGAACACCAATTCGGAGGGTTCCCTAACGTTGCAACACTTTCTTCACGAGCCACGATCACTACTCATTGTAACCTGGCCCAAATTCAGGGCCCGCCGAACATTCTGTTTCATACGTAGCCCGCAGCGGTGGGCGTCCTTCTTCAGCTTCAGCCAGCAGTCAGAGCGCTTGGTGGAGGGCTCGTAGCCGGAATCTAGTCTCTTCACCTGAGATCTGAAAGGGATGTGGTGGACATTGACATGGGGAAATCTGTCCCAACCATTTCGAGGTGTCATCTGAGGAAGATAGAACACACGTAAAGGTTATGTCTACCATTTTGAGGACGCTACTGTAGGCTACCTGTTAAATCCATCGCCAGTTAAGGGCTTGTAGCGAGCTGCCTGATGCAGGTTGCTCGAGGGATGGTCCAACAGTGAAGCTTCTGCAAAACGGCCTTTCCCATCCATAGGGTCTTCTGCCTTGCTCTTTCCGCTTTCGTCGCTTGCTTTTTACCAAACAGGGGTCCGAGGCCCTGGACGACTGACTTGACTCAACCGGAGACGCTTGCTGCGCCACACATGCCAGCTGCAAACATGAAACTCGAGCTGACGACCCAACTCGCCGGAGATCTACGGGCTGTCAGATTCGACATGCAGCCACTGAAAATCTATAATTATTTTGAACTACTGTATGCGTGGTTGTTCAACGTGCCAACTTCTTTTTGAATGCTGACAAAAACAAATGGTGCCAAACATGGGACATGCCCACAGAGAATCATAAACACAACTAGTGACTCAAAGCGTCTTCAAACATCCAACAAATTGAGGTATTGTGCACAGCTCGCCGCAGGCATACCAAGCTATATCCCCAATATGTAAACATGCAGACAATTGCATGCCAAGACACACACGGAGCTGGGTGTCAGCATGATTTTGAAGGAATCAATCAGACACCACTTCATTCGCAAGTTTACCCATGATGTTGCACTAAGTATTCGCCATAAATCCGCATCTGCGTGGCACCGTGGTCAATTTAGAACCCTGCAATCAAAATGGATGTACCTCAAAATGATGTTCTTCATTTACTCTCCCGTTTTTCTTCCGGGGGGCGGGGAGGACCCTTCATGAATCAGGCACCATACGGGTGTGTCTTTTTGAAGAGCACCCCCTTTTGGCTGGTATTTCAAGGCAAGCCAGCAAGAAGCCCAAAGCCAGCTTTGTTGGTTCCCCTATTTTGAGAAAGACCGACCCCTATAAACCAGCCATCCGATATGGTGTCCTTTAAAGGAACCCCACGGTTCATTCCCAAGCGCCTGAGTCATTCCCGAGTCATTCCCAGCACCCCGAGTCATTCCCTAATGGGTCAAAAGGCAACTTGAACGGAACGGCAGCCCCCTTTTCTGGGCTGTTCAGGTTGGCCAATCCTAATCCATAACATGTTTATAGGAAAGCCACTACAAAGAGGACTTTTTGCGTAACCCCAAAATGAGGATCTTGCGGACTTGAGGAGCGGGTGAACGAAAGCTAGCAGTTGTTGCATGAAAGAGTGGATTCATAGGTAGCTTGTGTACAACGAGAGGCCCGGCAAGATTCGTAGATGCGACACATGGTGGCGTGGCAAACCTTGAACAATGAAAACAACGAGAGGCGTCAGAAGCTGTGTCAAAGCACCTCTGGGTTCTGCATGCTGCGTGTGCAAAGATTCTTGCGAGGTGGTTTACCGAGAAGACTGAGGTCTCAAATGAATAAGCTGAATCGGTGGAACATGTAAAAGTTCGTAGCACCAAGTCCAAAACGGGCAAACCGAGACTGCTGAACACTGAGCCACTGCCTGGGGGGGGGGATGGACCAGGGAGGAATCGAGCCTGAGACCCGGGGGGGGGGGGGGGGGGGGGGTCTAAATGATTGATGTTTTCCAATCTTTTCGGCTCAAATAATTGAAAAAATCAATCTTTCGGCATTTGAGCCCCTTACCTTGCTTACGCAAGGAGAAACTTCAGCTAGCTAAAGCTAGCTTTCGTGATTACCTTTGAACAGCCCAGCTTTTGGCTTCCCCAAATTTGGGTGTGGCTCAAAATTATACGATCGGAGGGGCGGTTTCCGCAGGTCTTGGCAACCATGTTTCCACAGGGCTTGCGCCATCTTAGGAATTCCGCTTGGTTTCTTGAGCCATCCCCAAATTTGGAGAAAGACGCCGCCGCTTTTCAGCGCCAGGGGCCATCAGGCCCTCGCAGCAGGCGGCCACGGAGCGCCGCAGCGTGGCCTTCGTGGGCTCGGAGAGACGCTCGAGACGAAGCCCAAGCCGCGGGGTACGGAGCCTCCCCGTAAACGTCTTGGGTGGCGGTTTTCTTTAAAGAAAACAATACTAGACGTATTAGTATAATAATAATAAGAAGAAGACTAAATCATGTAACATAAAATAGTGGCTTCGTTTTGGTCTCCCTTTCAACCCAACCCAGCAAAAAGGAATTAATTACCCTCCAAACAGACAGACCCATATGGAGTATCCCAATCGCCCAACCAATCATTCCCCATGGCCCACATTCCTCCGCTTTGGATTGGGGTCTAACTCATCGGACCCGAAGGTGTGAAGAACATCGCCGTGGGCTAGAGGGTTGGTCTTGAGTATCACGGAACTCTAGCCTCAAACCCATGTTGTCACAATCACGGTGAAGGAAATTACTCTGAAAAGCGGTTCATCACACTTTTCAAAAAGTGTACACAAGAAAGGAGGGGAAGCAGTTCCACGAAGCGACCCCACGAGAAGAAGACGCCCTGCACAAGCCCACAGGACCAGGCAGCCGCCCAACCCCTTCTGCCTCAAGGACCTCCGGCTGACAGTCTGCCTGGCGGCGCAGTTTGTGGCTTCAATGTGGTGCCTCCGTTGGAGACTGCCTGTTTTGGGGGTTGTTTTGAGAACCAACATACAGAACCACCAAGAGAAACTGCCCATTTTGGGGGGGAGCCCAATTTTTAGGACGGCTTCGTTTCTTTCCAGACCCGCTTCCATTGCCGCCCCCCCCTTTCAAGCAGGTTTGGTCCCAGGGCCTCAAGATCTTCCACCTCGGCAAAGGCCACCACGTCCTCCGAGCGGTTGGTTTGTGGGTCAGAGTGCTTTTGTCGGTGTAACTGGAGCTTCCAGCATATTGTAGGTCCATGCCGAGAAGTCGTTTTGTTTTTGTTTTTCTCCGTAGGAGTTGCTATGTAATCTCAATGTCGCGCAAAGGACACTTCCAGATACAGGTGTGCGGCACATTAGGCTGAGCAGCATTGGTTGAGATGCGTGTCACGACTTGCTGCTGTTGTTCTGCGACCACATGTAATCTGACTGCGGGCCTCTGGAGGGAGCCTTCTGGTGGTGTCCATGTTAGTTGGTGGGAGGGACCCAGTTTAAGACATGATCTAATTTGTAGGCAGGCCCGGCTCTTGCCCAAGGCATGATCAGCAAGGCCGGCAGAGCTCTTGCAAAAAAGGACCCAATATATAATATAAACACCTTCTGTAGACATCTCCTCTCGTCCAGTGCCGCAAATCTGATCATCCAAAGGGGGGTCCTCAGCGTAATTTGCACAAATAGATTCATCGACTGCCCAAAGGGTCGCCCAACCAGCTCCTCCAAAGCTTGGAAATTCTCGCGGAGCTTCTGCCGACGTTGGACGAATGGCAAGCCAATCAGTGGCTCCTGCGGGGAGTAGACCTGTGCCCAGGCCACTTTGCACTTACATACTACAACGCAGAAACCTGAATGAAGGAGTCCACAAATAAATAAGAAACCTTCGTCATGAATAGCTGCATGTGCTTCACACCCACCTGTTCGTAATTTGGTGGCTCGCGTCGGTTGCTCTTGTGAAGCAATTGGTTGTTCATCAAGTCCGCGTGATTCAGTTCAACAACTGGAATCCCTGCAAATCCCAAAATGCTCAGCGCTAAGCTGAATGCACGCAGAAAGAAACCCCAAGCCGCTACCGAGATGGAAAGCAGACTGCGCCAATCTCAAATCTCAAGGAGTGGCACGGGCAACAATGGGGCACCTTTTCTTTGCTTGATTTTATCCGGAACCCTTGCCTTACTTTAGAAACGGATCAAAAGGGCGCCACGTGGCAACTGGTGAATGCATCGGAGCGATTGAACTGGCTTGCCGCTTGCCAAGTTTCAGAAACGTGGTGCGCCGGGACCGGACAGGCATGCAACTTCTGGCCAAAGCTCGCAACCGGAAACCGGGGAAGGGATCCGCCCACGAATGTTTGCAATCTGGTGAAGTAGTACACACCCATCACTAGATACCCAAAAGCTCCGTGAAGCAACTGCCTTGTCATGCCTGCCTTACCCGCAAAGTGAGCTTTCATGGGCGCAGACGGTGCTTGTGCTCAAGCGCACTCTGGCAGTCATGTGAAGCATGCAAATGCCATCCTCCCTACAGGGGATTCAGTGGCACTTCCAAACTCGGCAGCCCAAGCAACCTCTATATTCCTTGTGTCCCCAACTGGCAGCGATTTTCCGCCTATTTGTGTACGGTAATTTGGGTCCCGTGTGACCCTGGTGACCCCAGCAGCGGCACTCTGGCCCACACTTAGCGAGCCTGAAAAGGGAACATCATTTCAGAAGAGAGCCCACAAGTACGGCCATGGTGATTCATGCCATGTGCGCGTCCTCCAGGAAGAGGAGGTCAAACAGAAATAGCTTGACCTTGGAGTCATGCGACTGAGCAATGCAGAGAATGAGTGACATCCCAGAAAGAATCGATGACACAAGCAGTTCAATCCAAGTCATCTACATGCACTTGCACGTGGGTGCGTCTCAAAATGAGGAGCAACCTTTGAGATGGTGCTGAAGGAAACCCAAAGAACACTTAAAGGAACCTATCTGGAGGGGTGCCTTTCAAGGGACAGCCCCATAGCTCACAACTGCAGATCACAAAACATTCACAACGGTTGTCTAAACCCCTACCTTTTGAAGGGTTGATGACAATCTCGAGTATAAGTGACCATGCCAGAAAAAGGGAATGGGTTCACATTTTGCGGAGGGAATTCGTCAAGCAAGAAGAGACAATGACCCGCTGGTTTTGTTGGCTCTATGTGAGTCTGCCGAGGGGGCAAACCCCATTTGAATCACAATCAAACCCCGGTATTAAAATGGTTGACCCAGAACCATGCAAGGAAATACACTCAGGCGGCCGCAACCATCTATGGCTGGGATTGTCCCTTGCCAACCTTCATCTACCCAGGTTGTAAGCAAGCGGCTCATTTCGGGTTGGACAATGACCCCTTTTCAAGGGTCCCCTAAAAGGAGCTTCCTCCAGAAACCTGGGTTTTTTGGTTTCTATGTGAGTCTGCCGAGGAGGGGGCAGCCCCATTTCAGGCTGCTCGCCCCCGCACTTCGCCGAGCCGCCGCCACGGCGGCGTTATTCGCCGTGACGTTCTTCCGCTTCCGCGTGGCCAGCGACTGAAAGGCCTGGGCCGGGCCGCGGGACCCCGGCTGGCCAGGGCAAAGGACCCCGTGTTGGCTCGGCTGACGTTGGAAGGGGAGCAAACAAAAATGGTTTTTAGCAGTCAAGTGGGGGATTTCCCACTAGACCACAATAAGCAAAAATGAAAAATGCTTGCCAACAACCATGTTGGTAGAGATGGTCATCAACCTCTCTCATAGGGACCACGAATGCAAAGGTTCCTATGCGGGGGAACCATGACACCCTTTAAGTGCAGATTCATGGATCCAAGTTCGACGTTTTTGGCGGCCGGACTACCTAGAGTCGTCAGCAGCTCATTGCCAGCCAAGTTTGTTCTTTCACGAGGCCGACGCTTCCGAAAGGATTTGCCAGTGTGACGTTTGCCGTTGCCGTCGTACTTGAACCTTGAATTTGACAAGGGCAGCCCGTTGACAAGCAGGGGCACTAAGCCACCCAAACAAGCCCATGTTCGCTCCGCTTAGGCAATTCATTGAGTGCACCGGCAGCCAGCGGCACCATGATTCTTGAAATTGCCTGAACATTTGCTGATACACCGCTTGCCTTCGCACGAAAAACAAGTCACAAGGCAGCGTGCTGGCTGGGGCGTATCGCGAGTATGTCTCCTTCATCCAGTTGTTAGGATTGGAGGAATCAAATGTATTCATCCCTCTGTTTTCTTTTGTTTTATAAACTCCAAAGACCTGGCACAAGGACACAAACGTTGCCCCTGGTCAAATCAATGCCCTACCCTCGTGTTTTGTATCCTGTAGTAGACCCACCTAAAATCGCCAGGGGGGTTGGGTGTTGGGTGCTCCAGTGTCGGCCCAGCGGCAGCGATGTCCACCTTCTCGGACTCCGCCCCCTGACCAAACCACATGCTGCGAAGTGTGGTAGAGGTGATTCATTCACAGCGCATGTGCCAAAAACAATGGATGGCACGCCCTTGCGACTTCTCTCTGGCGAAGCCACGGAACATTTTTTCGCGAGTCGACGTCACCCTTCTCAGGCAGAAGTTCCCATTCCCCCACCCGGATATGAACATCCTGAAGCGCCGCAAGTGTTGGATTGTCAGGAAGCAGACATGTATGCAAACTCTTGCTGCAAGACGGAGCGCAGTGTGGGAGAGTGTTTCCCACGCGCAAAGCACTTACAATACGTCAGACATGTTTACGGGGACAGGGGCAACATGGGCAGCGTAGCTTGGAAAAGAAGCTTGTTGTCACGAACCAATGCTTGTTCTGCAAGGGAGTGTTTGCCAACCTGTATTCCACTCGCAGGCATGTTCAGCAAGCCCTTCGGTCACAGTGCTGTAGTGGCAGATCCAGCATTACCAACAGACAGCCGACTGTGGCTGCCAGTTTGTCTTGCACCATGTGTGACACGCAGTGCGCAACACTTGCTTCCTTGCATGATCACTTGGAGCAGCATCTGGGGGCTCAATTGCAGTGACAAGCTCGGCCTTGTGGCGCTAGAATTTTGCTTCATGGACAAGTGGGCAGCCAAAGCCAGCACTCAAGGTGGGCCGGCCATGAAGAGGAGGCAGGTGGGCGGCGACAAATAACTTATCATGAAAGCGATGCAGCTGCTCACGAAGTCCAATCTGAAGCTGTCGGCTGATGTGAGGGCCTTGCAGTCGGCCACGTTTCGCACATGCCTCATTCCAGCGCAAGCTTCCTTCGTAAAAGCTAAAGAGGCCAGCCAAAAATACAATGAGCTTGTGCAGGCTGCTGGGAAGAACCATGAGTATGCCGCACGTGCATGTGTGGGCAGCGCTGACAGTGGAGGCCGCAATGCAGCTGACTGGAGAGACAAAGGCTTGCGTGGAGGCGCATGCAGAGATTGACTCCCCAGAAGCTCTTGAAGGATGTTCTCTACTGCCGAGTTGCGCATGCCTACGGAGGAAAGCAAGTAAAGATATACTTGACCACCACCGAGAAGCTCCGGCCGGTCGCTGACGCCTTTTTTCAAGCCTTCAAAGGCCAGGGAGGCGAAGAGAAATTCGGCGCGCCCAAGGGCGGACTTGAGCGATTGCAAACGTTGCTGGATGAAATCCAGAGCAAGTAGTGAAGGCAATGCGACGATCGTTGGCGACAGTGCCAGCATCCGAGCATTGACGGGGTACTCGCAGGTCAGTAGGTGGTGCCTTTTGGGGTGTGATTGGGCTTACACCTCGGTTACCCCTATGCGACCTGCACTGGGTCAGTGCCTCCACTCCGAAAAGGAGGAGGATGGCAGGCAAGGGGCCTGTAGTTGTGTTCAGAGAGCTCAGCTTGGCAGACTTGACTTTGTCCGCCACTCAGCTGCGAGAGAGAGAGAGAGAGGTGATTCATTTCAGCATGGAATTGGACAAACGAACAAGCGGGGATACAGGAGCGGGGATATGGGGGGATTCCCTTGGCGCCATTTCCCATATCAAACTTAGTCAAGGTGCATTTGAGGGAATCCTCCCGTATCCCTGGTTTGTGTCCCTGCTAGTTGGAATCCCTGAGGAACCCTTTCGTAGGGAAAATCAATTGGACTTATGCCACCAACCAGTTTTGGGGGGCGTCCCTCAGGAGAATTCATCGCCATGTGACATGTGTACCTCTCTGTGCCCTTTGAGTTCGCAAGTTGCATTCGAATCCAGACGACGCGAATCCTGGCAAATCTGACAATCAGCAATCGAATCATATCCATACTTCTTTGATAACTTAGGCCACGTGCAAAGACTTGGACACCTCTATCTCTAACAGCACCAAATAGAATTCAGGGGTCAGTCTAACCTTGGCGCTTGACATGCTACTCGTGAAAATCTCAGGGTTTCGAAAGCTTAAACTTTCATTTTGGTCCCAGTCAGCACTGAACGAAGCCAACACTTACAAGCTCAAAAGACTAATTCAGTGTTTGCTTTTGGACAAGTCGGGGTGACTACCATACTCCGAATATGTGCATATCTGAGCTCCTCTGCTTACAGGGCGTCAACTCTTGAGACTCCTGGCAACAAGGTGTGCACAAGCTGCGCCTAGAATCTTGGACCCTGCCGGCAAACACGAGAAGTTGCCGAAGTTCGAGTTGGAAAGCTGTTGCAGTAGCTGATCTCTACTCCCATCCACTGGGTGGGGCGGGGGCACGTATGGCTCAGGTGCCTCTGCAGTCTTGGGCACCACTGCCACCTTAGCGAGATGCTCAGATGCTCGCTTGGCAAATGGTTTTCCGATGAACGTCTGTCTCAAAACTGAAGAGGAATGGAGTGCTTCGGAGGTGTTTTGCTGGGAGGGGAGTTGATGAAATGGATAGTAGGTGCCTGCAAGGTCTGGTTGATGGGGTTTTCTGCCTCAAAAAAGCAGCACCATGCCAAAACCAAATACAAACAGAAAACGACTACCGCATCTGCAGAAAACTGTTCAGTCCCTCGAATCCTAGCTTTGACACATTGACATATGGCTGTGGGTCAAAAATAGGTACCCCAAATGGAACCCTGGTAAATGGAAAGAAGGACTAAAACCTGCGGTCCCCTGGTGGTTTAATTCTGACCCATACCCATGTCTGTGGCGCCCTGCAATCTCCGCATCCAGCACGCAGCCAGCTTGGCGCCGAAAGGATCTCTTCAAGGCGCTGATGACATCTGGGTACCTTCGAAGCATTTGGGTATGAGTCAAAATTAAACCACCAGGATATGGACCGCAGGTTTTGGTCCATGCTTCCACTTGCCAGAGTTCCATTTGGGGTCCCGATTTTTGACCCACAGCCATTTGCCTGGGACTACACCCTTGGGAAATGACCCAGAATGGTTCAACATAACACGGTTGTATCCGGAAATGTGCCTACATGGGGTCAATACCCAGTGGGTGTATTCCCAGGGTGTAATACAAACACCTTTGAATTTGCAAGTACGGGTGATCCCACTCAAAAAACCAAGCAACAAGCCGAGCAAACCTGCCTAAGTCGAATGATGGGCAACCTTTGGGACTGAGGTGCTGCTGGCAACTAATGGTTGCCGTATTGGTGGTGCTCATCAAGACAGTTCACTTGAAGGCCTTGGAGTGTCGTAGAAAGACACGCAGTCTACTTGACATGGAATTGGGGCACTTGTATGTCATGTCATCAAGCTTCCTGGAGAAGATTCTGACATCGCCTGAGATGCAGACAGGTCAGCAAGATTCATCAAAACTTCAAGACACCATACCCGTCCTGCCACGGCACTTCGTTCAAAGGCACGAACGAGCTTTGCCAGCCTCTCATTTTCAGAACACGGACTGGCAATGCAGCGTGCATCTGCCATCATGCCTCGCGCTGCCCCAGCAAGCTGTACAACCTGGGTAAGGCCTGGCAAATTGATGTACCTGCGCACAGTAGTGGAGCCAATGCTTCCTGACTGTAGAGGACATGGAAACAATGCGCCAGGATGTGCCAGGATGCGCCAGGCTGAGATGACGCTTTCTGGTCAATGCTTTGTTATCTAGGACGCATCTAGGGCGTATGGCTTGTCCAAACTGGCACAAACAAACGCTTATAGAGTCCATACACGTCTAGGTCCTCCAGTAGAGAGGTTAGAATAAGGGTACCGTTTTTCTTGTAGTCTACTAAAGTATAGAGGAACCCTCCCCCAAAAAAGAAACGGTAAAAGTTGGCACTGGGGGACCTAGACGTGGCAAGTTCGCAGAAAGTCTTGAAGCAAAGGTTAAAATTGCGCCAGGCTCAGCCCTCAGCTCAGCTCATGGGTGTCCATTTTCTGGGACCCGGTTCTTGAGTCCGGCTGTTAAGGGGAACCGAAACCGGCCACCTGGAATCTCGAAAACGGTTTGGAGTCGCTTTTCGTGGATTTTAATTACCCGCTCTGCTGTTGATCTCGTTTCATCTTGTGGTTTCCTCTTTTAACAGTCGACAAGGGTGTCCACACAAGCAGCATCCGAACCGTTTCCAGATGGCACCCCCTAAATCTCAGACAAACGCAGGCAATTTCAGACTGTGCCGTGATCCAAATCATTCGTTCACAGGCAATGGGTCCGTTCCCGGAGAGATTGGATGCTGCTGCGCAGGGCCTGCGTCTGTTCGTCCAACTCTTCTTGGCATTTCCGGTAGGCTCTGGCGTGCTCTGAGCCGCCAATGTCTCGAGATCCCACCACCACGTCCCAAACCCCCAAGGCGATTCCGAAGACGTTCCTTTGCTTTATTACAGCTAAAACTGGAAAGAGCCGTGGGGGGAAGTGCCAGGGTTTGCAAAAAGTTCACTTTTTGAAGGGCAAAGGGCAAAAGGGGTTCAAAAGCTGAGCTAAGTTTAAGCGAGGTTCATGGTGACCGACAAGACTTTGGCGGTTCTAGTTCCACACCTGATGCTGATGCCAACGAACCGAGACAAGGAACTGCTGAGTCCAGGCGCCGCAGAGCTTTCCGCGAAGCTCCGCAAGACGTAGGCATCTGACTGGATGAAGTCTAAGACGCTCATCACAAATGCCGTGGCTCTGGCACCTGAGACGACCTTGTAGGACTTGTATGCGATCTTCGCAGACTTTGCTGCCCACTTCCCATATCGCCTGATCTCCTCCAGGACGGTGGGGTCACGGCATAGCTGGAGCAGCTCGCGGTGCTTCTCTTTCAGGGAATCCAGGAGTTCGCAAAAGACGTCATCTTTGGTCTTCAGCTTGTCCAAGGCATCCTTGACCTGACAGGCCAACCTCTAGACATGCCAACACCGAGATCGCTTCCCTTTGAACGGGATCACAGTCCAATGGAGTTTCAACCGACAAGACAACAGTCCTCTTGAAAAGACCCCCAAGCCCATGAGGATTAACGCCCCTGTAAACCCTGTAGAATGCGGATGTAGATCCAAAAATTCCTGGCCAAACCGAACAAGTTCAATTCCCCGATTTCAGAAACGCTCACTGGGCTCCAACCCTCCCCCCCAAGACCCTTTTGGCGGAGCTCCTTGTCACTGGCCCCCCTTCCCCCTCCCCTCCCCGCCCTCCCCCCCTTCCCCTAGCTCCCCTCCAGCTCCCCTAGCTCCCTTCCCCCCCTAACCCCCCCCCCTTTCCCCCTTCACCCCCCTCACCCCCCCTCACCCCCCCCCCCTCACCGCCCCCCCTTGCCCCTCGCTCCCCTCGCTCCCCTCCAGCTCCCCGCCTTCTGCGAGGCCTGCTTCAGGTGTCGGTCCTTCACCACGCACGCAGTGAGGCTCGTAGCGCCCCCGCCGATGGCCAGGCCCGCGCTGCCGAAGCCGAAGGCCTCGGAAAATTCCGAAACCGGTGGAGCTGGGGAGGACTTTTTTGGCCAAGTAGCCAGCAACAAAAAGCCAAGAAGCCGGTGGAAAGGTTTACAAGTTAGCGGGGTGCTGGAAATGAGACTTGATTTGGATGATTTGGGGATGCTTTGGCTTAGGTCCACCAACCACTGTGACTTTTTGCTAGGGGGAAGCCGAGCCTCCAAGATTCGGGAAGGTTTCTTGGAGTCTTAGGCTCTGAAAACCATTCTGGATCATTCTGTTGGAAAAGAAGGTCCGAATATTTCTCAGTTGCTGGTTGAAAAAAGGACGGAGCTAGCTTTTTGCTGGTTGAAAGGGAACATGCTGCTGGTTCAATACGCTGTTTTGCCTGGTGGCAAGAGAAACAGACTGAGCCTCAAAAGGGTAACAAGCTAAACGTTCAAAAGGTTTAAGGGCCGGTTTGGAGCTCGTTTCAGGTTTCCAGGTGTCAAAGGAAACCCAAACGGCAAAACGGATTGAGCCGCTCGAGCCAAGTCCGGCCATGACGCCAATGACGTGCCGCCGGAGACCGGCGCCAGGCCCAAAGCCAACACCCCCAGCACCCCGGAGGCGATTGAAACGCTGCCACCCGTGGTGCGAGCAATGCCAGTATCTTTGCATACCTGAAGCAAGAACATAAATACGTCTTCATCCATTCATCCGTGGGAGCGGGGACAATGTTATGGCTTCATTTTGAGGGGCTGGGCGCGGCCGAGTTTGGGTGTCTTTTTTGTTTGGGGGTACCCCAGCCTTGTGCATTGCACATGAATGAATGAATGGAGTGAAGTGGAGTGGAGTGGAGTGGAGTGGAGTGGAGTGGAATGGAATGGAATGGAAGGGAATGACTGGATAAATGAACAACTTCATTTGTATGCATTCTAAATTCGTGAATGCATGCATTAAGAATGAAGGAATGAAGGAATGAAGGAATGAAGGAATGAAGGAATGAAGGAATGAAGGAGTTAAGGAATAAAGGAATGCAGGAATGAAGGAATGGAAGGAAGGAAGGAAGGAAGGAAGGAAGGAAGGAAGGAAGGAAGGAAGCAAGGAAGGAAGGAAGGAAGGAAGGAAGGAATAAAGGAAGGAATAAAGGAAGGACTGAATAAATTAGTGAATGAATGAATGCATGAATGGATGCCAGAAATGAATGGATTCAACCAGAAGTGAATGTTTTTGTTCACAGGGAAACCCAAAGAAAACGCTCAAGGATCAAAGAAGGTCGCTAAGTTGCCAGGATCTTGCTTTTCAAACATGTACCTTCGACCCATATCATTGAATAAGCAATCAATCGGCTTCTTGTGCACCCAGCAAATCTGTTTCTCAAGGCCAGGCCTTGTCCAGGGTAGCGGCCAAGTCCCCAAGAAGCGCCGACATGCGAAGCTTCTCCTCCAATAGCTCCTGAGCCACAGCCCAATAGCTCCACTGTTGAAAGGGACACCTGGCCGTGGTCGCCTCTCAAATGTCTTTATGTCCTACCGCCAACTCCCGGTGCCAAGAGATGGTGTAGCTCAACCGCCGCCTTTCAAACGGAAAAAACCCAGCGAGTCTTACCGTCTTTGCGCGCAGCTGCTGTCCTAAATGCCAAGCCCCCGGCCTCAGCAGAACTCATGCTGTCCCCTTCCCAACGATTTCCATTCGGTGGGATGGGCCAATAGACGTGGACCCCCTTTGCTGCACCGTGGAGCCGCGCTTAGTGTCATACGCACCCCTTGGAAGACGAGTTACTGCGTTGGGCACATGATCACACTCATCAACGAGAACAACTGGACCCTCAAGGTCATCGATCTAACTTTCCCAGTTCCATGATTGGTTTGAGGGTACAGTGGGGATAAAATCTTAGATGCGATCTGCGCCAACTACTAGAATTCACTAACTGGAAATCCAACAAAACAACGCAGTATTGGACTTTCTTCATGAGTGAGTTCGCTTGAACGCCCATATGAGCTTGTCTTTACTTGCCAGAAAGGCAACACCAAGCATCGGACAATCACTGAATTACCCTGCCAATCTCGAAACCTGGAAATGAAGCTCAGCCCTTGTCTATTGTTTCAAAGTTGAAGCCAGGTTGCTCGTTTTTTTTGTCTGTAGACCTGGCCAAGGCGCCGTCACTGCAAAGCCATGGACTTGACGCAGTGCCTCATCGTCGGTGAGCAGCGCCATTAGTCCTGTAACATCCTGCCAAAGTGCTCAAGGCGAGATTGCTGGCAAGCCAAGAAGCTCCAAACATGGGAAACAAGGAAACCAAGCAATGCTCTCTGTCTCTCTCTGGCTCCCTCTTTCTCTCTCTCCCTTGCTCTCTCTCTCTCTCTCTCTCTCTCTCTCTCTCTCTCTCTCTCTCTCTCTCTCTCTCTCTCTCCTGGTTCCGGTCCTCAAAAAGCTGCTTTGCCATCTCAGCCATGGCGCGGCCATGACAGGTTTGGAAGGCCACTGAGAGGGCAAAAGCTTGAAGCAAGTGTCTAACCGTGTGTGCAAGGAAGTGGACTCTCCACTATATCAGTTCAGGAAGCCAATAAGCAGAACCTCCGGACTAGTGAGCATGTCCTCCCTTTCTCATCATGCCCGTGCCATAACCCTTGTCATCTCAATAGCTGCAAGGCCAATGCTGAGACACGCAGGGCGCGCGTTTAGGGACTGGGAGCCTGATGTCCAAAAGACACGGCATGCTCTTCCTGAAGAGCAGCCACAAGTGGCTATTTGGCTCAACATGCAGAACATCTTCAAGTTTCTTCCCACCATGCCATTGAAGCCGCTCGACTTCAATGTTCAACTCCTTGCACCATGCCATGGCACGTGCAAACATTGGCGCCTTGAAACATTGGTGCACACTCAGAGCTGGTGTCGTGTTCGAAGAATTACTCTTTGCAAAATGCCCCCCCTCCAAAGCCTCCACAAAATTGAAATTCTGCATTGATGCAACCAAGTCGCCATTGCGCAAGACATGGATCTGTGCACGCTGACCATCATACCTGGGGACATTGTTCCGATGCAGCTTGGGCCAACACACAACGTGACATGTTTGCTAATTTCAGATAATTCCGAGTGACGACCCCAGCAAGGATGCCGAGGCGTCGATATCCCGGTATGCCATTGCAACAGTCGATCTTCCTAAATTTCAGCCCGTTCAACGGGTTCATATCCAGCCTGCTTGCAGTGTGGAAGCCCCGGGCCTTTTGCATCAGCGGTCAAGTTAACCCGCCTACTTCAAGCCGTCTTGCAAGCACAAGCCCTCGCACTGCAGAACAAGCGCAATAAATCACTAGATATTCGGGGGTGCGGCAAGAAAGTGTCCTACATTGAATATCTCACAACACACATGACATCTAATATTGTGTTAAACTGGTGCTTGCTAAATTCGAGACTGACTTTTGACATGGCACTCCGAATGGAGAAGCAACATCTAAAGAACAAACCGAAACTCTCAAACCCAGAGCCCTGCAACTCTTACAGCCAAAAAATGCAATTCGGATGTGATTTGTTTTCGCCTTGGTCAGCATGTTCGTCTTCACCTGGCGCTTAATCTGACTGATACCTGTAATGGCGCTCAAAAATGGAGCGCGAACCTGAACAAATGATACCCCAGACAACCCAACCGAGCGGCTTGAACTCTGCCGCCAGGGTTACCGCCTCGGCTGCTGGATCTGTTGAACGCTAGGAAGGGAAATTGCAAGCCTAGGTGATGCCTGCCTTGTCTCTGCAGAGTGAGGCTGGACGCATGTCCGTGTGTGCGTCAACGGTAATATGGGTATGTTCAACAGCAGGTAGATGCCTACGCCTATGCATATGTATGCGTTTGTATTTACGAACGCGTGCTTGCATGTGTCGATGCATTGAGCTATATCACAGCGTAGCCTGACTTGCAAGCAGCAAGGTCCTGTTTTAACCGAGTCCGCGGAAGTGGCTAAACCATTCCAAAACTGAGGGCAGGCAGTGCAGCGAACCCAGCCACCGGCTAGTCAGCTTTTCTGCCGGGCTCCAGAAAATTAAGGTATTTTCATACCCCCTATCCGGGTGCAAGTGGTGTGGGTTGATGTAGGCTAAGCGCTTGCAGTCAGAGCTTCAGCGCAAACAAGGCGCCATAGTTGCACTGGGGCCAGCCTTGCCAGTCAAGTTTGGCAAAATGTCATCCTTGCGTTAAATACTGATGATGTTCTTGGTGCTGCACGGAGGGATGTTCCTCAGGTTTCTCTTCAATGCAATTTGGGCACCTCCCGGGAATCCAGACTCGTGACACTTACCTCCTTACCGCAGAAGGCAAACAGCTTTGGCTTAGGAAGCGAGCCTGAAGAGCTCGTTACCCATCTGGAAGCTTGCGATTGAGATCTCGTTGCCATGCTGGAGCTGAACCGACGTAAGCGTTTGCCACAGCCGCGGGAATACTCGTTGATGCGACATGTTTTCTTGTTATCCTGCAGCTCCTTGCGAGCACGAACCTTCCCCGCGCACGAAAAAGCACTGAGGATTCGGCCCGCTTCCGCTACCCTCGGAACTACAAAAGTCTTCGAATTCATGAGACCAAGGATGGCTACAGCGACACGAGCACTCAAAATCCAAATACACGGCAACAAGTGAAAGAGAGCAAAACTGTAACAGGTACAATTCCCACAAGAATCCCAGCCAAGCTTCCTGATTTCTTTTCTGGAGAAATGCAAGCCATTCTAGGTAGGCACGGAAGATTTCTTCTTGAAAACTCGAGGTAGTTGCGTTCTCATCGTTCTATGTCAAGACATAGGGCCTGCAGTTGTGTTTTGTTTTGGTTCTTTTTTGGAGCTCAAGGTTTTTGTACGTGTTCATTGCACAGGTTGGTGGAACGCCAGATTTGTCAGGAGTTTGGGCACGTTCAAAACGCTGGCCCCACCCCCCACCCCCCTGACATTGATATTTGTATACATATATATATATATATATAATGATGAATAAGAAAAGAAACACATAAATAAATAAATCAACAAATAAATAAATAAAATAAGTATAATATGTATGCAATGCACAGGCACATATGTGGTCGAGCCATGTGAGCCGGCCAGAGATCCACGCTGGCTCCAAGGCGCTTTCTCTGGGAGCGCCCCGCGGATCCGCTTCTGCAGCTCGGGGATGGAGCTGCACGCCTGCCGCTTTGGGCAGCGCCGCTTTGGGCACGCCGAGTTGGGCCGTGACCTGTGGCAGCGCCTCACTATGTACCTTTGTTTCCATTCACCAAGGTGCGCTTCCATTCAAGGTGCGATTTTGGGTCGCAATGTTTGAGCCGCAGCCAGTTGGCCATGGGTCAAAAGCCAAATCCTACCCCCAGTGAACATCCCAATCCAACCACTAAAATAGGTTCTGAAATGGGTGGCGAATTCACCTACCAACCAAAATGGGATCCCATTGGTTTTAACCCACGGCCAGTGGAGTCTGGGTCAAAATTAAGCCACCGGGGGACCGCAGGTCTTGGTCCTTCTGTCCATTTACCAGGGTTCCATTTCGGGTACCTATCTTTAACCACAGCCATTTCCTGGCAGTTCAAACCCGCCCGGTGGACAGACGGAGCCTTGGCCAGCATCGGCTGCATCGGCACCCCCAGCTGGAGGGTGCAGCTCTCGCGCATCGCCTGGCGTTATGACGCGAGCAAGGCAACAAAGGCTGCGCGTATGGATTGATGGATTTACCCATACGATATGGATATGGGATATGGGATAGGAGAAGAGGTCTTGTTGTTCTTATGGTTTTTAGGCTTATGGTACCTGCTTTCTCCTTTCGATTTTTTGGGGGTGAATACCCACCATGCGTTGAGGAATTGTCCAAGGCATTCCTGCTTTGCTAGATGCCAAATGCTGACAAAAACATTGCTTGAGCAAGCCTGACCATGCCTTCTCGTCGCAGAATGACCCTAAGGTTCTCCCCAAGTCTTCCACAGCAGGTGTGCGCAGCACCCCTCCCTTTCGCGTCGTCAACAAATATGCTGTTGGGGATGATATTCCGGAGCGTTGTGGGCACACATCCCCCTCGGTGATCTACTTTTAGAGGTGTGTTGTTTGACCTGGTCAAATTGTTTCTATATATGGCTCAGTTCCAAAAGAATTGATGCCTATATATGTATATGTATGTATATATATATATGTGCTTAGCGTACATATTGATTCTAGTCGGCGATTGAAATAATGTATATTTCACAGTAGGCATTAGTTGCCAATACAATAAACCATGATAATATAGAATACGTTGCCTAAAAATACAAGCAAATAACCAGATTATACATGTGTAAGGGTGTATAATGGCGAAACGAGGTTGGTGCTGTAGTTTTTTAGTTTCGGTTTGGACAACTTGTGTAAGTTTAGCGTTTGGGCCGGGATATTGTGGATGTGTGTTGGTAGGCGGGATATACCTAACGGTCATTTCTGAATGCTTACGAGGAACTGACCCGGAAGTTATTAGGATCTTAGTCTGGGTCTTTGAACATGTTTGATTAAAGTAGCCGAACCTTAGTAGTTAAATAGTCACGGTTCCGAATGTTTGATTAACATAGCCGGAATCTGTCCAAAATTTACCCGGAGTCTATCAGGAGTTCACGTAGTCTATCTAGCATCTTTAAACATTCCAATCCACAGTGGGCGGACCGCATTTGTTTCAAGTTTCACCCATTGGGAAACATAATATTTAGAGAACATGAGGAGATGGGTAAAGCCAAAGGAAGATGAAGGTGAATCTGTATTGTAGCCCTTGGTCGCCCTTGGTTGTTTTACAGGGTGCTGTCCGATCTTTTTAAGGGTACGCGGTTTGTTCGGCGTTTTGCAAAGTTTGGGGCCTAATTCTGAGGATCAAACACACGGGACAGAAACAACACCATTCAAAAACAAGCCTGCAGGAAATTGGGCTGGAAGGGCCAGAATCGAGGCAAGGGGTTTCCTGTGTATGCCACTACCTGCGCCACTTGCTACCCGGCCGGAAGCGTGGTATCCACGAGAAAAGCGAGCAACGCTTGCCAAATCGCTGGCTCGGCTCGTGGCAAAGCCAAGCATCATTGGTGGAAAAGATCATCAAAAAGGCACTGCCCGCATCACAAGCATCACCAGCCTGAATTACGAGCATTACCCGCATCACCACCACACAAAAGATGACGTGTCTCTTGTCCCGCCTGGTGGCGTACTGAGACTGAAATCATGGTGGGTGTTTTCGCGATGGCTCTCATCCCCTGAGTTTTCCCAGGCAGGTGGCACCACGGCAAGCTTCTTTGCTTTTTTGAGCTCATGCTCAAAACTGTCAATACGTCTGGACTGATACCTGCCCTGCTAATTGCAAGATTCCCGTAGAGTACCCTGTTTTGTTCGAAAACACTTTGGGGGTTCTCCTCCTTTGAGACAAATCCATTGATGTAGCCACGCTCAAATTTGCTGTGCTGTGAGGACATACGCAAATTAAGTTGCGTGTCCCCTGCTTTTCATGGGCAACTTGGTGCTTCTCCAAATGTCCAAACAAACTAGACCTCACATTTCGACCGAATCTCCCATGCGTCCCACACTTCAGCCTGCCTCGAAACCACCTTCGAGCAGCGCTGTCACCAGGGCTTGCACGTCCGGGCGCAGCGCGTAGCAGTGACGCACCTGCAAAGCCGAGTATCCGATCCCTAAGGAACACGCGCAAAATCCCGACCCCCGAAAAGGATCGAAAAGGAACAACGACTCCCAACAACTCCCAACAACCTTGCAAAACAAGAAAATTACAAAAACACATGGATAGAGGGGCCAGCCGCCTGGTGTGCCATCACAAATGTGCAAGTATGTGATGTCGTCTTTGTTTGAACGCACTCTTTCTTACGGTGCTATCGCAACTCCATGAAATGGCATGGTGCAAGTCAGGTGGTGGGGTATGTCAAAGTGGCAGTCATGACATACGGTGAATGTCTCATTGGCGGCAGGATGCCAAGGCAAGAATGCTACTTCCAGTAAGTAGGTATTGTGGTGCCAAACTGCCTTGCCCGTGCAAAAGCTGGCGCTATTGTTTGCCAAGCTGGGATGCAACTGGACCATTTTGTTGAGGCTGTGGATAAGGGTGGATAACTATGCTTCCTCACCGTGCTACGAGTCATACAGAGCTTACTTCGTGGCCTATGCGGGGATATGTTCTATTGGGGACCTTTGGCGGACATTGTTTACGCGCAGAATTGTGCCCACAAACCTTTCTCGAGGGTGTTCCCCATAGCCATTTTCAGAAAGCCTGCTTTGCTATGTGCCTCGAAGCATTCCAAATGACGTGGCCGGTCCAAGAGTGGATTGTTTCCGAGAAGGAATGCCGAAAAGGAAGTAAGCCAGCATCATCCGATTGCTCAACATAGACCAAAGATTGGGCCTCATCCTGTGATGAGCGGACTTTTTCTGCTCGAGGTCCTGAGTGGGAGCTCGAACCGTGATTCCTCAGCCTTCCTTGCTCTGTCAACAAATGGGGATGGGTTGCTCAAAAAGAGGAGACCCCGAATCCTATTCGCAATCTGTAGCAGGACACCAAGAAGGAAACCGCTACCATCTGGTATGACTATCAAGGATTGATTCTGAAAAACCTAGCCAAGAGGTACGAAGTGACACTTCTCACCCGTCCTAAAGACCTGAAAATTGGAGCCTTGCTACCTGTGAGTCTGAAGTGCACGCTGCAGCTACTCTTTCTTGCCGCGCGAAGCAAACTGCTGGGACACGCGTCTACTTCATCAGATCGCTCTGCAGGCTTGTGCATGGCGTGCCAGCAGCTTGCCCGTCAACCAGCTCTGGCGTCCACGTTGAACATGAAAGGATTGCTGGCAGTGGCCACTAGGCGCGGCGGCAAAGGTAGCAGTCGTTGAAGGTGTCAAAGTCCATCTCCAACACCTCGAAGGGAGCAGGCGAGTGAGAGCTTGGAGCGGGGCGATCCACCGGTGCCGGCTCCCGAGCCCAAGCTCAAAGCCAAGGTCCTATGTCCCAATGGATATATCAAACGAAAAAAAACCGAGCTTCACCGTGGGGGGGGGGGGTGTTTATCAAAATTAGAGAACCCTCCCAATGGTTGGTTTCCTTGAGGTCTTCCTCTCAAGCCATCTACAGTAAGGGGGGTTCACCTTTCTTTGACAACACAGCCATGCTGCTTCAGTCACAGCGCCTCTGTCTTGAAGCCCGCAGCATCCAGCATGGACAGCGCAGTCTGGCGCCCCCACATCATTCCTCGGTCCCAGACCATGAAGCCATGGATGAGACTTCCATCGAGTCACAAGGCAGCTCGCGTTGTCATGATTGACCAAGCCCACGTGCTCTTAGACTCTAAGCAGGATTCTGCCCGATGCTTGTGTATGTTCATTCACGGACATGTCAACCCCAACATCCCACGCGCAATGGTCAGGATTGGTTGTAGGTACCGAGGGGTATTTTTCTACGTGTGATTACTGGATTGTGCAATCGTTCTCCTTTCGGCAGCTGGCATGTGGTTGCTTGCAACAATGCCAGTGCAACCCTGTAACGCCTTATTTTTTCAGCATGCGTGGCTTTGATTTCTTTGCAGTGCGTTCTGAATTTGTTTTCATCGCATTATAGCCAATGCAACGCCGGCCTCCTAATTTAGTGTGCCCGTTGAGGAACATTGATGCACATGCCTAATGAATAGCGGCGCGGTTTTGTCAAGGTTCAGTTCGCATGCATTGGCTGTCATTCGCCACCTCCAGCTAGGGAAATCAATTGAAGTGTCAGTGGACAGTGGCACAAATCCGCCGACAACAGACGGCGTGTTGGACAATAAAAATGCTCCTTACCTCTTTACCTGTTACCCCTCCCCTAACCCCTCCCCAGGGGCACCATTTCGGGGGGGGGGCCACGTACCACGCGGTGATTCGAAGACGCTTCACTAAATCTGTTCATTGTGCGGGAGCGGCACATCGCCAGCATCACCTGCATCCGCATCAGCGCCTGCCAAGGATGCGGATGATGCAAGTGATGCTGGGGATGTTGCCCATGCTGGTGAAGGAAATGAAGGGGGGAAAGGGGGAAAGGATCTCAACAGCAAAAAGGGGGGGGAGGAAAGGGAGAAGATCTGGGGAAAAAATGCCTTAAGGGGGGAAAGGGGGGAAAAGATCTTTGGGAGGAAAAGGGAAATCTTTCTCGGGGGGAACAGGCCCTAAGGGGCAATGGGGGGACAGGATCTCAAACGGGAAAGGGGGAAAAAGACTTTGGGAAGAGAAGGGTGGAGATCTTGGGGGGAAAAGGCCTTAGGGGGGAAACGGGGGAAAGGATCTTAAGCGGGAAAGGGGGGAAAAGATCTTAGGGAGGCAAAGGGAGACGAACTCAGGGTGCGAAAAGGCCTTAGGGGGGACAGGGGGGAAAGGATCTCAATAAAGAAAGGTGGGAAAAGCTCTTAGGGAGGAAAAGGGAGAAGATCTCAGGGGGGAAAAGGCCTTAGGGGGGAAAGGGGGGAAAGGATCTCAACAGGGAATGGCGGGAAAACATCTTAGGGAGGAAAAAGGAGGAAAAGGGATATGATCTCAGGGGGGGGGAAAAGGCCTTGGGAAAAGGGGATCTCAGGGGGAGAAGGCCTTAGGGGGGAAAGGGGGAAAGGATCTCAACAGGGAAAGGGGGGAAAACATCTTAGGGAGGAAAAGGGAGAAGATCTTGGGGGGAAAAGGCCTTAGGGGGGAAAGGGGGGAAAGGATCTCAACAAGGAAAGGGGGAAAAGGCCTTAGGGGGGAAAGGGGGGAAAGGATCTCAACAGGGAAAGGTGGCAAAAGATCTTAGGGAGGAAAAGGGAGAAGATCTCAGGGGGGGAAAGGGGGGGAAAGATCTTTGAAGGAAAAGGGAGAAGAAAGGGTGGGAAAGGCCTTAGAAGGAAAAGGGGGGAAAGGATCTCAACAGGGAAGGGGGGGAAAGATCTTAGGGAGGAAAGGGAGAAGATCTGGGGCAAAAAGGCCTTAGGGGGGAAAGGGGAGAAATGATCTCAACAGGGAAAGGGGTGGAAAAGATCTTAGGGAGGAAAGGGAGAAGATCTGGGGAAAAAAGGCCAACAGGGAAAGGGGGGAAAAGATCTTAGGAAGGAAAAGGGAGAAGCTCTCAGGGGGGGAAAGGCCTTGGGAGGGAAAGGGGGGAAAGGATCTCAACAGGGAAAGGGTGGGAAAGATCTTAGGGAGGAAAGGGGGGGGGGAAGATCTTAGGGAGGAAAGGGAGAAGATCTGGGAGAAAAGGACTTAGGGGGGAAAGCCCAACAGGGAAAGGGGGGAAAGATCTTAGGAAGGAAAAGGGAGAAGCTCTCAGGGGGGGGAAAGGCCTTTGGGGGGAAAGGGGGAAAAGGATCTCAGCAGGGAAAGGGGGGGGGGGAAGATCTTAGGGAGGAAACGGAGAAGATCTGGGGACAAAGGCCTTAGGGGGGAAAGGGGAGAAATGATCTCAACAGGGAAAGGGGTGGAAAAGATCTTAGGGAGGAAAGGGAGAAGATCTGGGGGAAAAAGGCCAACAGGGAAAGGGGGGAAAGATCTAAGGAAGGAAAAGGGAGAAGCTCTCAGGGGGGGAAAGGCCTTAGGCGGGAAAGGGTGGGAAGGATCTCAACAGGGAAAGGGGGGAAACAATCTTAGGAAGGAAAAGGGAGAAGATCTGGAAAGGCCTTAAAGGGAAGGGGAAAGGATCTCAACGGGGAAAGGGGGCAAAGGATCTTAAGGAGGAATAGGGAGAAGATCTCAGCGGGGGGAAAGGCCTTAGGAAGGAAAGGAGGGAAAGGATCTCAACAGGGAAAGGGGGGGAAAGATCTCAGTGAGGAAAGGGAAAAGATCCCAGGCAGGGAAAAGGCCTTAGGGGGGAAAGGGGGAAAGGATCTCAACAGGGAAAGGGGGCAAAGGATCTTCGGGAGGAAAAGGGAGAAGATCTGAAAAGGCCTTAGGGGGAAAAGGGGGAAAGGAGCTCAACAGGGAAAGGTGGGAGAAGATCCTAGGGAGGAAAAGGGAGAAGATCTTGGGGGGAAAGGGGGAAAGGATCTCAACCAAGGGAAAAGATCTTGGGGAGGACAAGGGAGAAGATCTCAGGGGGGGAAAGGCCTTAGGGGGGAAAGGGGGGAAAGGATCTCAACAGGGAAAGGGGGCAAAGGATCTTAGGGAGGAAAAGGGAGAAGATCTTGGGGGGGAAAACGCCTTAGGGGGGAAAGGGCGGGAAAGGATCTCAACAAGGAAAGGGGGGAAAAGATCTTAGGAAGGAAAAGGGGGAAGATCGCGGGGGGAAAAAAGGCCTTAGGGGGGAAAGGAGGGAAAGGATCTCAACAGGGAGAGGGGGGAAAACATCGTAGGGAGGAAAAGGGAAAAACTCAGAGGGAGAAAGGGCCTTAGGGGGGAAAGGGGGAATGGATCTCAACAGGGAAAGGTGGCAAAAGATCTTAGGGAGGAAAAGGGAGAAGATCTCAGGGGGGGAAAGGCCTTAGGGGGGAAAGGATCTGAGCAGGGAAAGGGGGGGAAAGATCTTAGGGAGGAAAGGGAGAAGATCTGGGGGCAAAGGCCGTAGGGGGGAAAGGGGAGAAATGATCTCAACAGGGAAAGGGGTGGAAAAGATCTTAGGGAGGAAAGGGAGAAGATCTGGGGGAAAAAAGGCCAACAGGGAAAGGGGGGAAAGATCTAAGGAAGGAAAAGGGAGAAGCTCTCAGGGGGGGAAAGGCCTGAGGGGGGAAAGGGTGGGAAGGATCTCAACAGGGAAAGGGGGGAAACAATCTTAGGAAGGAAAAGGGAGAAGATCTGGAAAGGCCTTAAAGGGAAGGGGGGAAAGGATCTCAACAGGGAAAGGGGGCAAAGGATCTTAAGGAGGAATAGGGAGAAGATCTCAGCGGGGGGAAAGGCCGTAGGGGGGAAAGGGGGGAAAGGATCTCAACAGGGAAAGGGGGGGAAAGATCTCAGGGAGGAAAGGAAAAGATCCCAGGGAGGAAAAGGCCGTAGGGGGGAAAGTGGGGGAAAGGGAGGAAAAGGGAGAAGATCTCAGGGGGGAAAAGGCCTTAGGGGGGAAAGGGGGGAAAGGATCTCAACAGGGAGAGGGGGGAAAACATCTTAGGGAGGAAAAGGGAAAAATCAGAGGGAGAAAAGGCCTTAGGGCGGAAAGGGGGAATGGATCTCAACAAAGAAAGGGGGGCAAAAATCTCAGAGGGGAAGGGGGCAAGGGGACAATTCCAAAGGGACGCAAATAAGAAAGCAGGCCTGTAATGTCGGCGGCCTGAGCCGGAGGCGTTAAAATATCATTCACATGTACGCAAACAAGCTTTGAAGATCAGTCAACCAGCCATCTACAATAGAATGCAGCTTCAGATGATACTGACCGCAACACTGACGAGCCTGCCACTGCGGGGCAAGTTTGAGTCCGGAAGCCCTTGCCAACACTGACTTTTCTTGAACGAGTCAAAACTACGCCGCGATGTA